GCCACAGACATCCCTGAGCTGGGCATCATTGACACAGTCATCCGTTCTCAGGCTCAGGAGCTCGGGAGATCGAGCAGCTAGAACAATAAGTTCCGTACTCTGCAAGAGGTCTCCAACCGTTGATGTTAACATACAACTGAAAGACTGTCATCTCACATCCCACACACCTCCATTCGGTGCGTCCCCGTGCAGGAGTGGACACTCGGGCGGCGCAAAATGAGCTTCAGGTTTTCGTGCCGATCATGTACGCGATGCCGAAGGGGGAGAGGTCGTTTCATCAAGCACCCGGGTCCATCCTCAAGTCCAGTGATGGGACATGCAGCTACCCGAACTTGGTCAACCTGTGGGTCGCAGTGGCAGTGCTTCCTTTGAGCACCGTCGACTGCGAACGCAGATTCAGAAGGCAGAACGACATAAAGAGCTGGAATCGAGGCAACCTTGGGAATGCCATGCGCAGCGACCTCATGAGCATGTCGTTCGTGGAGTACGAGCCTGATTGGGATGCGATAGTGAAGATCTGGAGGCGAGACAAGAAGTGCAAGCCCCACACGTTTTGAATAAGACCCAGGGTGCATGTGACGAGCAGGAAGAGCAAGGAGAAGGTTGTATACTTGGGCTCGAATGAAGATGGGTCTGAGGGGGATGGTTCTAGTAGTGGGGAGGGTGGTGCTAATGGCTCTTCCGACTCAGACTCTAGTAAAACTTTCTTACATCCATATCTATGTTGTACTTAAGAGTATTCTTAACGAGTGCAGAAACCTGTGACCAATGACTTAGTCTGATGTGTCAGACAAGCAAAATTCTATTCTGAATATAAGACTTCTCTAAAACACCAAGTCTGAAATTAATGCCTATGCTACACACCAAGTCCGACGCCTCAGAGGGCCCTAAACGAATCATAGGCCCTGATGCCTCTTGCTACTGGACAGACTAGAAATCATCACCTTGGCTGTGGCGAAAAGAACAGAAAAAATAAAAGATGAAGAAAGGATAGCATTTATAATTACTCACGTCAAATTTGAAACCAATTTCTGGGATTCTTTATTAGGTTAAAAAATAAACATATGAAAACTCTGTGGAAGAGAAAAGAAACAAAGAGTCTTATGGCGAGCATCCTGGCCTGTTTATCTCTTTGAGTGACGCTATTCAATCAACTGTGCACCGAACCAAAGTCTCACGGCAGCCTCTGTTGGAGTCAACAAATACATATTCATGCGTTCCACCAACATAAACATTCACGTACGCACTGCATTGAGAGCAGATACGGTAGGTACTTCGTCAACACAATTGGTTATGTGATCAGGTAGGAGCAGCAAGGCGGTGTGGATGTTGTTGGGTACACTGACTCCGATTCGGCTGATGAGGCCAACAGGAGGCACGCTGCCTACTGGTATCTATCCAAGCTGCATAGAGAAGCTGGTCAGTATAAAAAAGGGTAAGGAAGTGTTGTTTGTATTGGATGCAAATCAATGGAGTGCACTCTGCTTGTTGTCATTATGTGTAGGTATCAATCAAATTCCAGGGTTCGTGACCACATTCTCAAAGGACACAAGAAATCAGAAATTATTCACATAGTAGAGCATCAATTCTATATACATGGTTTACAACTCAGAGAAGAGGGGTTGTATGGAGAGAAATAAATAAGCAGAGGGGAGTGTGTCCATGTCAAGGTTCGCATTTCCCTGCCTTGATCTTGACTTGGTCCGGAATGCACACTCTGGTGGCTTTGACGAGCTTATCGATGCAATCGTACCCGTTGACCCGCTTGTAACACCCTTTGATTCCACGGAAGTACTTCACCTGCAGGCCAGTGCAGCGGTCGCCACTCCCAACCACGTACGCACGAGCCTTGGGACACACTCCTTGCATGAAGCTGAACGAGCTGCCTATGCACGCCTGCACTTGCCGTGTGAATCAGATGCGAGTAGGGAGGAGCGGGGAGAGGGTGGAGAGCGGGAGGAGAGGGGGGGTGAGAGAGGCAGGTGTGAACTGCAGGTGTCGACTACATGTGCGTTTTGCTGTGTGATCTGCAGGTACGGAGTGCAGTATGAACCAGACTTTGTGACAGAAGCAACAGCTGGGTGACGCAACTGATGAACAACGTGTAATTGCTCAGAACTGGCATGACTGGTTGATGAAATTAGGTGGGAACCATAGGGGCAATCAGTAGGAACTGTGAAAATAGGAGGCAAGGGGAGAGTGCATGGTGTGTGAGGTTGAACGGGAAAAAGAGAGCAGCGAAAGTGGGGAGAAAATGCAGAGGAGGAGAGGAGAAGCGAGAGGGTAGTGTGGACAAAGAGGAGAGCAGAGGCAGACCTCAAAGCCCGTGATGCTGCCGATGTCAGTCTTGGGCACGAGGCGGCTGCACTTGATGCCGGGGTTGAGGCGGAAGAAGTCAATTGGGGAGAGCGGCGGGGAGGGCACGGAGCGGGTCTGGTCGCACGTCTCCCCGGCCTGCACCAGATAGAACTGCGAGCACACCGGGATGAGCAGCGCCGCTGCGCTTTCCGCCCGCCGCTCCACACACGCCGCCTGGCTGCCCGGCAGCTCCCCGCTGCTGCCGGAGCAGTCCAGCCCGGGGTTGAGCGCCTGGAAGGCTGCTGCACAGGGCTCGGTGGGAGTGGGGCAGCCGGCGGTGAGAGAGAAGTAGGTGGCTAGCGACTCGCATGTGTCGCCCTGGGGGGATGGGGGCGAGGAAAGGAGAGGTGGAGAGAATGGGGGGGAGTGTAGAAGATGTGAGAGAAGGATGAAAGAGAAGGATGCAAAGAGGCGAGGCGAGGGGAACAGGCGGAAAGTCAGACCAGGGTTGAGAGTCACTTTTGAGAATTCTCAAAAGGGTTGAGAGCCTGGAAAGCTGCTGCGCAGGGCTGGGGGTCAAGGTGGGGTCGGTGGTGGGATCTTGGTTAGGACAGGCAGTAGAGAGCGAGGGATGTAAGCTTCCAGTGACTCACACGTGCACGCAGACGGGAGAACGATAGGAGAGCAAGGAGGGTGGGAAGGGTAGGAGGGAACCGTGCAAGGGGTAGAGAAGAGCACAGATGTGAGGGTTGGGAGCGCAAAGGGCGCGGAGGAACTGAGGAGCAGAGATTTGGGATAGAAAGGTGCTGGGAGTGAGGGGATGCAGAGAGGGTTTAAGACACAGTAGCAGGAGCAAGGTCGAAGAAGAGAGAGAGGGAAAATGGAGTACGTTGGTAAAGCTGAGCAGCTAATAGGCTAAAAGGGCGTGTT